TCCTGTACAAATGAATGCATAATTGTTACATTCAAGTTGCTAGAATTCAGAATTTCCAGAGAAAGTTTAGGGTATAGGTATATTGTCTGGAGGACCTACTATTTTAACTAGAAATATATTTAAAAGTCACTAATTTCTTAGAATGCATTAGATTGATCTCTAATTCAAGAAAAGGTGTAGTTCATATTTAAAAGTACATAATTACTTCTAGCTACAAATAAGAACTATTTCAAAGTACATAATTTGAGAGGACAATTTTTAAAAAAAATATATTTTATTGATTTTATACAGAGTGGAAGGAAGAGAGATAGTTAGAAACATCGATGACTGAGAGAGTCATCGATCAGCTGCCTCCTGCACACCCCCCACTGGGGATATGCCCGCAACCAAGGTACATGCCCTTGACTGGAATCAAACCCGGGACCCTTCAGTCCCCAAGCCGACACTCTATCCATTGAGCCAAGCCGGTCCTGGCTGAGAGGACAATTTTACCACCCATGCTTAAAATTACAAACACTATTTGCAAATAGTAAATATAGTAAAAATTCTTAGAAAGTCTGTTTTCTATTTCATCTTAATAGACTTTAATACCCTTTTCTATATAGAGGTAAACTTCAACCCCAGATGGATGGAAATAAATTTGCAGATTCTAAGTGAATTGCATTTCTATTTTTTCAACATAGATTGCCTTTAGTCAGTCTTGTTCCATGATCCCTCATTCCATTATTTACTTTTAAACTATGTATTGTTCTCCTTTACAGCCTTATTTTAATACTAAAAATAAAAGCGTATGGCTCTGGTTTTCTTCCTGGTGAATGATAAATAAACTTTCCTTTTATTGCTACCCCCAATAATATATAATATTTAAAAATATATATATTTTATTGATTTTTTTACAGAGAGGAAGAGAGAGGGATAGAGAGTTAGAAACACCAATGAGAGAGAATAGTCGATCAGTTGCCTCTTGCACACCCCCACTGGGGCTGTGCCCGCAACCAAGGTACATGCCCTTGACTGGGACCTTTCAGTCCGCAGACCGATGCTCTACTGCTGAGCCAAACCGGTTTCGGCCCCCCCCCCCCCCCCAATTTTCTTTATTAAATATATATAAGACATAGATTCATAGAATTTCTAGTGATTTCCAACCAAGTGCACAGGTAATAGTGTCCCCCCACCCCCTTTTCTTTCTTTTTTGTTGTTAATCTTCAGTAGAAGATATTTTCCCATTGAATTTCAGAGAGTGGAAGGGAGGGGGAGAGAGAGAAACATCATGTGAGAGAGGTACATCCATTGGCTGCCTTCTGCACACATCCCTGCAGACCTCCCACCCCTACACCCAACTGAGCCTATAACTAAGGCATGTGTCCCTGACTGAAATCGAACCCCGGATGCTTCAATCTGCAGGCGGATATTCTATCCACTGAGCCAAACCGGCTAGGGCAGTTGTTTTTCCCTTTTCAAAATGAATTATCTTTTTACTAGTAATTTTAAAATCCTCTATTTTTATTTAACAGTGCTTTTTCTCTATGACCTGCCCATTGATAAGGTAACTATTCAATAATTTTAAAATAAAATAATCTAATACTTTACTAAGCAAACAATAAGTAACTTTTTAGATCCTGGGCCTCTACATTCCTTCGCTACTCAAATCAAAATGCAGTAGTCATCTCACGTTTGTTACCATGAATTTCAAAAGAATAATCTACATTCTAAAAACATTTTATACAGGACAAAGAGAACATAATTAAGCTGGAGTCTTTCCATATCATTGACTTTTGGGATCTAGGCAGCAGAACCATGATGTAGGTGAAAAAGTATCATGGCCAGGTTCCAGTGTATGTGACTCAAACTGAAGAACAAAATGTTGACCTGTGAATACATCAGCTCAGCTCATGAAAAGGATACTACCTAGAGGGTCTCCATTTTTAGAGACCAAATAAGGACAAATGAGCTAAAATAGCAGCAGAATCAACATGGGTTATTTATAAAATACTTTCTAACAAGTATCAAGAGGTTAAGGATATGCATTGCTCATACCTCCTAGAGCAGTGGTAGGCAAACTCATTAGTCAACAGAACCAAATATCAACAGTACAACGATTGAAATTTCTTTTGAGAGCCATATTTTTTACACTTAAACTTCTAATGCCACTTCTTCAAAATAGACTCACCCAGGCCGTGGTATTTTGTGGAAAAGCCACATGCAAGGGACCAAAGAGCCGCATGTGGCTCGTGAACTGGTTTGCTGACCACGGTCCTAGAGAATGAGATAGGCTGCTCATTTGTTTGGGATGGTTCTTAATGGGAAAAATTCTAGAAGACAGGATGGTATCTTTCTGAACTTCAAGTCCATCTTTTCCCATAGGGGCTCACACCTTTGAATTGTAGCTCATTTATTACTCTCAGTGTGAATCAAATCCAGTTCCAGACTCTCCATCTTAATCTAACTCCCACTGCAGAACCATTTCAACAGTTAGGAACTCTTCGTGCTCTCACTCCATATCAAAATGTAGCCAAGCCCTGGCAGGTGTGGCTCAGTGGATAGAGCGTCAGCCTGCAGACTGAAGGGCCCTTTGTTCAATTCTAGTCAAGGTCCGGGTCTTTGTTGGTGCATGCGGGAGGCAACAAATCGATGTCTCTCTCACATCAGTGTTTCTGTCTGTTACCCCCGGTCCCTTCCACTCTCTCTAAAATATCAATGGAAAAAATATCCTTGGGTAATGATTAAAAAACAACAACAAATGTAGCCAAGATTTCTTCATGGGAGCTTCTTTTCTTACTATATTTTATGATGTCTGATGTGTGACATGCAGAGCCATTTAGAGCAATGACTTATAACTTTAGCATGCAATTGAATGTAATTTAAGAAACAACTCTGTAAAATAAGGAATATGAGAGCAGGGTTTTTGTTTTTATGTTGGTCAAGTACTTTGGGGCAAATGGCTGAGTGTTAGCTGAGCTATATTCCTATTTCTTTTTGATAAAAAAAATCAAAATCATTAAAAGTTCCTTTAAAACAAACTACCAATATATCTATTTATAAAAATGAGAGGAATCTTTTCTTTCAGAGTATGTTGGAAAAGTGGGATGTTAAGTATTCAATTGGTTATATATCTAATCAATATCTAATGATTGACAGCTGGCCAAGCCTTCTTTCAGTTTTCTAACACCAATACAAAAGCTGTTATAAAAATGTATAAGGCTAAGGTATTTTTAAAAATAACTGTTAAATTTAGCCCTAGCCGGTGGATAAAGCAATGGCCTGCAGACTGAAGGGTCCCAGGTTTGATTCTGGTCAAGGGCACATGCCAGGGTTGCGGGCTCAATCCCTAGTAGGAGGCATGCAGAATGGCAGCCAATCAATGATTCTCTTTCATCATTGATGTTTCTCTCCTCCTCCTTTCCTCTTTGATACCAATAAAAATAACTGTTAAATTTAATATTTTGCCTTAGTGATAAAGCCTTTTTTTTTTTTCAATCCTAATTTTCATTTGTATCTGTCCACTTTCTTTAATGGGGGTTTGAGCTTCCACACTATCCTCTAGTTTTTGTAGATAAAGAGCTATTTGCTTTTTAGCAGAGCTGGATGAGAGGAACATCGCTGCATTTGATTGGTTGGCTTGTAAGGGATTACTCACTCCTCTGGAAAGGCACTGTCCCATATCACATTGCTAAAAATGTGGACTTAATTGGGGTTAAATATTTAAATTGAAGCATTTAGCATCAAGAGAACATAAGCTTCAGGACCCCTATGTTACTTAGATTCTGCACATCATATTGACTTAATGTGCTTCTGATGAAGAGCTCTGTTTTTAATCAACCTTAAATACCATACCCCAAAGAACTGACTGGCATACAGATAATTTGGGGTCCTAGTACATTTTATAACAAAGCCAGTACAATTTTAAAAAGAATAAATTCAAAATAACAAATTGACTTCAATAAGATTAGCAACACTGAGGAAGACATATGTCAGCTAAGTCAAGTCAAATAAACTACTCTATACTATTTATTCCCATAATAAACAATGACTTTCAATTTTTTATTCCTCATTTCCAAGCTACTCAAAGAACACGATCACTTTTCAAATTTCACTTATTTTATCTTAAAGAATTTACTGAGCAAAATGCTTAGTCGCAGGATTTTACTTTTGTAACCCATCAGGTTACAATATTAAAGTTATTACAAGTTTCTTCCCCAGAGTAGGCATTCTGTATGTGTTTTATTTACATTCTGTCACTTTTTATTTCCTCCTAAACTTTATATGCCCACGAATGAAACTGTACTGGTGTTATGTAACAACATTTCAAATTTGCAACATACATACTGATTTATCTGTCCCTTGAACCAACTTCCCTGAAAAAGAAACACATGTATCCAAACAGAAAAAAACTTCCTTACAGTGAGAGAGTCTAGCCGTGTAGAAATAAAAGCATTTAAAAACAGTTGTATGGAAGGGTCAAGATGTATCTTTCTTTGTTGATAATAACCCCCATGATTTATGAACCACCACAGGCAGCCAAGACCTTGGGCCTGCACATAGAGGTTGGTAACACAGCGGGAATTAAGGCTTTAAGGTCTCTTACAATTAATGTGATTCGAAAAACCCAAAGCAAACAAACCGAAAGGTCTGATAAAAGGTCTGATAAAGTGCTCCAAATAGAGCTTTTGGCAACCCAAGTTGAACCATATGACTCAGGTGGACGATTAGATTAAACTGTGCGCCGTTTTCTTTCCTTGGGTCTATAAAGCCCGTAAGTTATGTTTGGTCCAGGAAAGCAGAAGTCGTTAGCACCTTCCTTTCCCACTTTTTAATATCCTATACGTACACAATTCTAAAGCCATGATCTTCATTCATTGACTAAACAAGATCCTAGGTGCCTTTTTCGTGATCACGCCTCCCAAGCTGGCCTTATGTGACAGCAATTTGAAATGCCCCTCCGTGGCAAGGGCCGAGACCACGAGGTTAGTCATCCAAAAGTGGACGCGACTTGCTTTTATTTACTTAATTACTTGAGGGGCGGCGATGGCCGCGGCAGCTGGACTAGGACGAGGGTGGAGAAGGGGCGCGCGGGCTGTGAGCCGGGGATGGGAGCCCTCGCATAAGGGGGGCGGCAGCCAAGTCCCACCAGCTCCGCCCGCCGGACCCAAAAAATGATCAGGACCTCCCCCACACACACACCCCTCGCTGCATCCTTGATCCCCCCTCTCCTTCCCAGGCCTTTTATCCTTCCGCCTGCCCAGCAGCCCGCGACTCCCAAACCTCGCGCCAACAGCCTCCTTCCGCAACCCCCTGGGGTGGCGCGCGCAGGCCGAGGGCGGCCCAGCGAGGCCCGGCCCCGCAGGGACCCCTGCCCGACCCCTCCGGCCGCGCCCCTCCCCCGGGTATAACGCACCTGCGGCCCCGCCCCCGGCCAAACGCCGAGGCGGCGGCGGGCTGGCGAGGCCGGGCGGCTTGGCTCTCGAGGTAGTCACCTTCCCTTCCCCCGTCATCCATCCCACCCCCCTCGTTCAGCCACGGAGCAGCGGCCGCGCTCCTCTGCCGCCCAGAAATCTAAAGGGGTCCGTCTCCGGCACCACAACCAAATGGCTGAGCCTCCCTGGCCGGCTGCGCAGCCCGCCCATTGGTCCCTTCCCCCGCCGCCGCTGCCGCCACTGGCTGCTGCCCGGAGATCCTCGGCGGCGATTGGCTGAAGCTCCTGCCGCTCATTCTCGAGGCCGCAAATCCCGCCTCTACAGCGATCGGGTTTGTGTGCGCCGCGGGTGCTGGGGGCTCGAGAACCGAGCGGAGCTGGTTGAGCCTTCAAAGTCCTAAAACGCGCGGCCGTGGGTTCGGGGTTTATTGATTGAATTCCGCCGGCGCGGGAGCCTCTGCAGAGAGAGAGCACGAGAGATGGAGATGGACAAACGGATTCATTTAGAGCTGCGGAACAGGACGCCCTCTGATGTGAGCATTTGCCAAAAATATCTCTGTCGGTCCATTCTCCTACTTTGTGTATGTGTGCGCGTTGGGGGTGGTGGGGGGGAGGTGAGGCACTTTTATTGAGGGGGGGAGCCCGGGATGTGTGGGTTTTGGGGGGTCGGGCTGCAAATGAATTGCAAGGTTGGGGGGTTGCAATACCATCAGAGCATGTTCCGGCTGCCGCCGCCGCCGCCGCTGCCCTTGGTGTGTGACTACCTGTGCGTGTGCTCCCGCGTGTGCGAGTGTGGGTGCGAGAGTGTGCGTGCGAGAGTGTGCACCCAGCGGGGGCCGGCGAGCGCACGCGTTTGGGTCGCAGAGGATGAGGCAAAATGACCCTCTAGCTCGTTGCTCCCATGACTCCGTCTGGGGAAAAAAGATTAACGACGGGGGAGGAGGAGAGGGTCTGCCTCCTGGATTTAACAACAAAAAGGGGGGTTTATTATTTTATAAATGAAAACCCCCGTCCACCACCCCCTCCTCCCGCACCTCACCCCTCCCTTTCGCCCTCGCTCACGCACACACAATAAGTTTTGGGCTTCGCGAGTCCGGTCTAGTTTCTGGTAAACGTGGACCGAGGCCCCCGGGGAGGGCGCGTGGGGAGGGGGCTGCCGCGGAGTTGGGAACGGCTCGAGTTTAAAGTGCGTCTTGGTTTCCTTGCAGTGATGAGGCGAGAGACGGGGGAGCCATATTTGTAACTTTGTAGTGTTCGTGAACGCGCCCTTTCTCTCCCTCCCTCCCTTTCTCTGCCTCTTCCTCTTCTCTTTCTCCCTCACTCTTTCCACCCCACCTTCGGGCCAGATGCTGATGTTTCTTCCCTTCGGAGGGGAGGATAAATGGGAAGGAGAGGGGGAGGGATTTTCGAACGTGCAAAGGCACCGATCATCCCCGCGCCTCCCCACACCGAGCGATCGCTGTGGCAAGTTACCCAAAGGCTGCGTCCCGGTCCCCGCTCGCCCCTGCGCCTTCCGGATGCCAGCCTCCGACCCCTGGCGACCCCCGGCCGGCCCTGCTCTGGAGGGGGCTCCCCGGCAGCCATTCGGTGCCCGGCTAATAAATAAACGGGCATGGGAAACTTTGTCCGGACTCGAGCTGCCCGGAACCGGGGCCCGCGGCGGGTATCGGCTGGGTCCAGATGGATGCGGGCAGAGCGAACACGCAGCCCCGGGATGGGAGCTCGCCTTCCCGTCGCCGCTATGGACCGGGCAGCGGCGGGAGCGGGGCCGAAGGGAACTTACACGGCCGGGAGCTGGCAGCCTGGGCGAAAGCTCACCCCCGAGGAAGTGGGAGGCCGGGGCTGGTTACTCGAACGCTCGTTTTTTGGTTTTGTTTTTGTTTTGCTTTTCCTGGCTTTCTCTCGCTTTCAAACACTGTTTTATGCGAGTTGGCGGCTCCTGGGCGGAGGAGAACCGGGTCTGAGCTGAGCCGCCGGCGGACTCTTTCGCGGCCTTTGGCGCGGGGACCGGGAGAGCGCGGTGGCCGGAGAGGGTTCCAGAGTTGGCGGAGCACCGTGTGCTGACCGGTCGCCCCTCCAGCTGATTAACACCCGAACCCCTGGCGAAGACAGGCCTGGCTGGCTTCCTCTTTGCTCTAGTTCCTCCCCCAAACCTGAGTGAGACTTTTGAAAACAAGATCCTTTTTGTGCCTCCATCCCCCCCCCCCCATCACATCCTAACGCAGCTGTGGCGTGTGGACGTGCGGAGCCTGATGGCGCGCAGGGCGGGGAGGGGTGCCCGGGGGAGAAGGCAGGAGTTGCCTTTCTCCGGTCGGTTCCTTCCCTGCTGGAACCCCAAACCCCAGCCGGAGAGTTTGGGGGGGCTGGGTGTGGTGATGGGGGAGGGGGCCGCGCCGCGGGCTTCCCGCGTACTTTCCGGAAGCCCCCCGCGCGGAGGGGGCAGGGCGCCGGGCAGGGGGCCCGGGTCTGCGCGGGTGGCTGCGGGTGGGTGCGCGGGTCACCGGGCCCTCCCCGTCCCCTCCGCCCGGCACCGGGGAGCGAGCCCGAGAGCGGGTCGAACCGGCTCTTTAAACTTCCGAGTGTGTGTGCGGGGGGAGGGGGCGCCGGGCGGGGAGCGCTTCTCACGCTGCGCCCCCTCGCCGCCCCGGCTCCCTGCCCACGCGCCGGCCCCGGGCCGCTAGGCCGGGTGGGGCCGGGGGAGCGGAGGGGGCACTCTCTGCGCGTTCGGGGAGGAGGGGAGGACGCTCGCTAATGAGGGACAAAAGAGGTGGGGGAGGAGGGGCTGTTTTTTTTTTTTTTTGTTTTTTTTTTAACGTTCTTAAGACAAATAGCTTCCGGAGAGCGCCCTCTGCGCCCCTTCCCGTCGCGCCCCCCGCCCCCCGGGGCCCCCACACACCCACCTGGCGAGCCTCTCCCAACTCCGCTCCGGGGCCGCGGCCGCGCCGCGCCGCTGGAACAGGACGAGCAGCCATGTTTCCCGGCGCCCGGCCCGCCCCGCCCCTCCCCCTCTGCGGCCGGCGGGGCCCCCATGCGGCGCCGGGCTCCCCGCGGCCCCGGCGGAGGGCGCGGGCCGGTGCTGGCGGGCCGGGGCGCGGGCGCCTGGGCTGGGTCCCCGGGGCCGGCCGTGGGGCGTCCGGAGCTGGTTCGGAGCTCGAGGTGTTTTATTATTTATTTTTTTTAACGGCCAGACCCGCCCGAGGCCGAGCCCCCAAGGGCGCCGAGGCATTATTGGGGGGCAGGGGCGGCCGCCTGGGCCCGGCTCGCTCGTGGCACGGGCGCCGGGCTGCCATTTTGTCACCGCGGCTGCTGTCGCTGCGGGCGGGGGGAGAGGGGGGCGGGAGGCAGAGCCTTGCGCCATCACCCCGACGGGCCTGGACGTGGAGGCAGCTGGGGGAGGCGGCCCCAGGCCCTCAGAGGCGCTAGGGGGCCCGATGGGTGTGCCCTCCCGCGCCACCGGCCTGGGGCTCTGCTGGGGCGTTGCAATCGCTAGATCCTTCTCGTGCTCCCCCCCTTCCCTGTCCCCCATGGCGCTCCTCCACCACCCCCTCTCCAGCGTTTTGCCCTTCCTCCTGCAAAATACCACGTTTTAGACGTAGCCAAACGTGGTCCTGAGGACGAACCTATCACCTGGTGTTTGTTCTTTCCTCAGAATCGATAGGAGGGGGCGGGGGCAGAGATTGAACCGGGGGCTTCTATTTGGGGAGGGGGTGCGCACACCGCTCTAGCGCCCCGACTGCAGCCCGGACCGCGGGCCGCTTCCGCGGGAGGGACGGGCGCGGGGGAGACGCCCCGGAGGTTGGGCGCTCCGGGGAAGGTAGGTCTCGCCCCGGGTGTGCAGTGGGTGCTGCAGCGCCTGCAGGTTGATAGGGGAGCCTTCCTCACCCCCTTCTCTGCTCTCCTATTTCCTACCCAGGGGAAGGCAGCCACAGGACTCAATGTAACCGCAAACGGATAAAAGAAGGGAATAAGGTTTGGTTTTTAAAAAGTGATGGCTTTCTTGCCGACTCTCCTTCTCAGAGCCAGACAAGGTGTCCTGTAGGTGGCATCTCTCTGGGACTTTTTAAAGCCGGTAGGATGCTGATTGAACACCTCCCTGGTGTCTGCACAGAGACTAGCTTTCACGGCGGTACCCAGCAAAGGCTGCCCAGGAAGCCAGGTTTAACTTCGACCTTTGGAATACATCAGCATGATGTTTTCCAGCCTGACTTACTGCCTAATTGGGTTCAAGCAGGCCGGTGTTAATTCCAGTTTATGCAAGCCAACGCGGGATCCACAGGCAGAAAATTGGGCATTGAGCTCGGGGTAGTCATGGTTAGTTACGTTTTGCTACCCAATTGCTGCTGGTGGTGGTAATTGTAGGTTTGGGGGCTGCGTCCACAGTAAATCTGGAACCACACAGGTCTGAGTTTGAATTCCCCAGTCCCAGAAGAGGGAGGTAAGTTAACCTGCCCCTGTGAGCTCAGGCAGGTCAACCTAACCTACCTTTTTGAACTTTGGTTTCCTTATCTGGGAAACGGAAGTAATAATCCTAGTTAGTAAGCGACAAAACTGGCTGGATCTGGCCCTCGGGTGTTCAGTCTGTGATAGCATTGTTGTCTGAGAGACGGGATGCAGTGGGGCACAACTCTGAACTCCTCTTAGGATCAGAATAACAAGAATAGCTAATGCTTTATGTTGTGCCCTGCCGTGCCTGGCACAGTTCTTAGTGGATTGTGACTATCAGTTAATTTAGCGCTATGAGGTAGAAGATACTCTTCTTATTCTTGTGTTACACATGAGGAAATTGAACACAGGCTATCATAACCAGTCTGTCCTCGATCTCTACTCGGTTGCTTCTCCGGAAGCACCCTTTTTTGTAAAATACCTTAAGGAAGAGCTTTTTTGTTTCTCTGGCTTTCAAACTTACCTTAATGGCAAGCGAGTTTCTTGTGTTGAATGTACGAAGACTTGGAGGGTCTCTCGATTGAAGATTGGGAGAGTTGGTCAGGACCAGAAGCTCTGCGGATTATCTTTTTTTTTTTTTTTTTTTTTAATTTATTGGGGACATTGGTTAATAGGATCATATATGTTTCAGGTGTGGATTTCTATGTTACAAGATCTGTATATTGCACTGTGCCCACCACCCAAAGTCAAATCATCTTCCGCCACCATATAGTAGGCCTCGTTCACCACCCCCACCCACTCCCTGGGCTATCATCTTTTTTTTTTAATATATATTTTACTGATATTTTACAGAGAGGAAGGGAGAGAGATAGAGAGCTAGAGATGTCGATGAGAGAAACATCGATCAGCTGCCTCTTGCACACCCGCTATCGGGGATGTGCCCGCAACCAAGGTGCATGCCCTTGACTGGAATTGAACCTGGGACCTTTCAGTCCGCAGACCGACACTCTACCACTGAGCCAAACCGGTTTCGGCCATGGGTTATCATCTTAAATGGATAGCCATACGCTTTGAGTTTGTCTTAGCATGCCACCTCTGGTTAGACTTGAAGCAAATCTGGCCTTTTAGGTATTGGGAGGCGCACTTGGGG